TAGATCTCTCTCTCTCCCTTCTCTCTCTCTCTCTCTCTTTCTCTCTCCCTTCTCTCTCTCTCTCTTTCTCTCTCCAGTTGGAACAGCCTCCCACAAGTTTTATAAAATCACCCATGTAATTTACTTTCTCAGTCCAGCGAAGTCACCTCCTTGGTGATGCTATATGATACCACCCATGTATTTCTAAGAGAAGCACACACGATGTACCTTTGTCACCCAGAAATTCCAGGGATGGTTTTGTCAGGGACCGTGAAACCGTCTTGGGAATTTAAATGAACATAGCTGGAACTGTTTGCATGACTCAAATAACAGGGTATATTCCTGTTAATAATCTACTAGCCAATGTGTCTTTTTCCCGGTGCTGCTAGTTGGAGATAGGCTTGTGACCTTTGTGCTTTCCTGTTAATCTTAAAATTTGAAGATTCTGCTTCTTCAAGGAAAATTTTAGACAAAACAGCTTTAAAATCCCTCTAACTTTCCTCACACACACACAAAAAAATCCCCATTGATGACATTAATTTAAATCTACCATTGTAAGACAGAGATGTTTGGGAAATTCTATTTTCAATGCCATAAAGTGGGAAGCATATGTCTTTTATAATCATTTCCTAATTCTTTGCAACACCAGATTTACAGCAGAGAACTATTGTTTTTCCACAGAAATCTCTAAGTACATGTATCTATCATCTATATGCTTTAACTGTCTTGCATATTATATTGGCAAATAGCCATCGATCTTTACATAAAGGAGATCATTTTCTTGGACAGGATGCACAAGATATTCAGTTTTCTCCTCCATTTTTTTAATTGACCTTCTTCAAATTTGCATTTTCTCAGCAGAAATCACTCCTCTTAGTGTGATGACAGAAATTTTGGTCAGAAAGCCAGTAAATAGGAAGGTTTTTCCTCAGTAACTCATTTTTCATCTATTTTACACACTATGTAATAGATACAGAGTGACTCTGAAATCCAACAGCCTTGAAGAAATCCTGGCTCCAGCATTTACTAGCCATGTGACATTCAGCAAATTGCTTAACCTTTCTGTGCTTCAGTCCTCTCCTTGGCAAAATAGTGGTGCCCACCTCAGAGTGCTGTGAGCTTTTTAAATGAAAGAAGTACTGATAAACCACTGTACACATGCCTGGCATACATTAGTACATCTTCGCTGTTAGCACTCTCTACAGCACAGAAAAGATACTCTATTTTATTCATTTTTAGAATTTACTAATATTTTAAATTACTATAAAATGAGGACATAGGATATTTGTGATTAAATAAAGAGGAAGAGGACTAGTATTTGGGAATGAGCAAAGGTTTTAAGTCTGAATAAATCTGAATATGGACTTTCATTCTAGTATTTGGTGTTGTGTAACTGACCTTGGGCTATTTGTTTAATCTCTCTGAGTCCCAATTTCCTCTTGTATAACATAGTTACCTTACATATTTATTATGAAAACAAGAGAATATATGTCAAGGACTTAGTATGTAATAGGTACTAAGTAAATGGAAAGATGTTAGTTAAGGCTTTTGACTTTTAGTTTCTTGCTATCCTTTAAAAAATTTTTTTTAATGTTTATTTATTTTTGAGAGAGTCAAAGACAGCATGAGTGGGGGAGGGGACAGAGACAGAGAGGGAGACACAGAGCCTGAAATGGGCTCCAGGCTCTGAGTTGTCAGCACAGAGCTCTACGCGGGGCTTGAATTCAGAAATGGTAAAATCGTGACCTGAGCCGAAGTCAGACACTCAACCAACTGAGCCACCTAGGCACCCCTCTTGCTGTACTTCTTAAGTATATGCTTATCACACATGCAAGGCTATATGTATGAAAAAAAGAGAGAGAGAGAGAGAGAAAGGGAGGGAGAAAGAAAGAACAGAAGGGAAGGAAGGAAGGAAGGAAGGAAGGAAGGAAGGAAGGAAGGAAGGAAGGAAGGAGAAGAAAGAGAGAGAGAGAGAGAGAAAGAGAGAAAGAAAGAGAGAAAGAAAGAAAGAAAGAAAGAGAGAGAGAGAGAGAGAAAGAAAGAAAAGCCATAAAGCAAAGCTTACTGCTTTACCACATTCCTAAATTGTTGGGGAAAAAAGAAATCCTGAGAATTTTAAGAAAAGAATGTTTGACTGTTTTTTATTACTGTATAAAACTAAATATTGGAACTTTGATTCTCATTTGTAGTACACATAGATGTTGAATTGTAACATCTTTAGTAGATTTTCTGCTGCATTTAGAGGGAAACTTTAGATAATATATTTATCAATTTAAAACAATGAGTGAAAAACCACAGATAGATAAGATGTATTCCCAGATATCAGTATTGCTATTTTAAAAAATGAACTATGAGTGCCCTTAAAAGGCTATTTTCTTAATTTTGGCAGAATAAATCCAAACTTCCCAGGCAAATAAGCATCAAAGAACTCCACAGTAAAATAATCAGTATTCTCCATTCATAAACAATCTTCAAAGTTTGTTATTAAAATACTAAAATACCTTCAGAATCACTATTACCACTGTATGGGCTAGAATTCACAATGCTGTAAGTAACTGAAAATTCAACTAACAGTGATTAAAGATGCATTTTTCTCACATTAAAAAATTTATAAAGAAGATGCTTCTGTTATCGGGTCAGTGGTTCAATGATTTCATTCCCCTTGTCTCTGAATCTCTCAGTTTTTCCCTCATGATTGCTCTCCAATGATCAAAAGATGACTCTTAGATCAACAAAGAGCCTGTCCAAGTTCATGATAAGAAAAACGAGTGATTAGCAATTCCAGCTGTCTTTCTGTTTCAGCAGACAACAATAACAACAACAACAACAGCAGCAACAAAGTCTCCCTAGAGACTCTAGAAGACGTCTTCAAAAGTGGGACAGGTGTTTAATTTTCCAGCCCTTAAAATGGAAATGACAAGAGAAAATAGGGGAATGAATGTCTGTTGAGTTAGCAAACAATGTTTGACACACCATTGAGAAACTACTTGTTCCAAAGCCCACGGTCAACTAAACAAAGCCGTTACCTATGTTAATTTTCCTGACCTTAGAAGATGCCATTTTCTAATTTTGCTTTCAATGTATTTGAATATTAATATTAGTTCAGTCAACCCTTTTTCCTAAAAGGAATACATGAATTCCATTAATGCTAGAATTGATACCAGGTGTTGAATAGTTTGGTTTCTTGTTGTGCTGTTGTTTCTACCAGGGCTGAAATATTCTCTTTGGTAGCAGTGTTTATTTGGAATGTGATGGTTTTGCATTGCTGAATCCATACATAAATTATTTTATGGATAGGGAGGTAAAACATGTGTTCTTATTGTCAAACTCCTAACCTAATGTTTTCAAAATAATTCTCCAAGTATTCTGGAGTCTTACACAATTTCAACATGCAACACTAATTTTTCTTTTCCTTTTATGAAACCATTAGACCATTAAAACTATTTAGTGATATTCATCCCATCTGGAAACATTGGAGTGCCATTTGCTTTGGCTTTCCCTACATTTTTTTTCATAGGTTGATCATTTTTGCCAAGCTACCACCTGATATTAATATATTTTAGAGTCATTGTTTTTCTTTCTTTCTTTCTATCTGTCTTTCTTTCTCTCTTTCTTTCTTTTTCTTCTGAGAAGAACCAATACAGTGACCACTCTATTTTGGAAAGAAGAAACTTAACAGCACATTTTGAGTAAGCTGGTGTAAAGAAAGGCTCAGTGGGCTAACTGGTAGAGCACCAGCTCATAGTGGAGTCCACAGCTAGGTCATCACTGGGTCTCACCTTTGTGTATCTTGACCCAAATGATAGCACTATTGTCCTCTTTACACATACAGCCCACTATTTGCTTATTGGTGATAGAAGGAACAATATTAGGGTCCTCTTTGGTGCCCAACGGTGTCTTTGGGGCTAGCATACTGTATGGGTCCAGTCCCTTCCATGCAGCCATCATGACCTCCCATTTCCAGTCCAGTCACCAGTTCATCATTAGTAGAAACACCACGTCCAGATGCTTTGGAACACACAACGGAGACTCCATTGGGACTGTAGGCCCTGAAGGCCTGCACGACCAATGCTCCAACTCCATGACTTAATCTTGAATCCATCACACAAACTACAAACAGCCTAGAGGAATTGTTTCTGAATCAGTGGGGTAGCAAGGGTGAATGGTGGGGATGTTCAGCTCCAAATGCATGCAGCAAGGAACTCATCCCTTGTGGTTATTTTAAAATCATTTAAAAAAACTAATCAAAATTGGCCTGCTTTTTATTACCACCATGTGTTGGCAGCTGTAGACAATGTGTGATAAAATATTCCTCCCTATCTTTTAGGGGAAACCACCAAGATCCTGCCTCCTCACTTTTGGTATGAGCTGCTCATAATTCAGATTATTCCCTTTCAAATAAATTAATAGTTTAAGGTTTTAAAAGACAAACACTGTCTGAAATATTTTATGTGGACAGAAATTCTGGGCATTTTTTCCTGGTTTTATCATCTTCATTATAATCATGGCATCATCACTTGATTGAAAACAAAAGGTGAACAAAGAAATGAATAATATTTAAACTAACTAAAAATTGGACAAAAAGTAACAACTGTAACAACAAGACTATTCTCTGCAGAATATTTCTGCTTTGCAGTACAATTGCTTTTGCAAAAGGGAAGAAAAAGAAAAGAAAACCTAAAACTAAAGTTTTATTTATTGCAGTGTTTTTTATATCAAAGTGGGTATCTTCAACTTCATATTTCTACTTGGTTTGGGGACTAAATATTAAATATGGGGGGAAAGAGCAGCATATGACAAATCCTTTTCATCTGAAGAATTGTCTGTAATGGAATTTATTCTGTAAAATATGTGAAGTACCAATTGTTACATGCTCACCAACATTTCAATCTTTGTTTTTCCTTTATATTGGGTTGTTTCTCTGTTTTGGGGGGGCTTTTGTTTGTTTTATTTTGTTTTCTTAGGTAACAAAATGATATGATATAAATTCTTCACATTCATTGTAATCCTTTATTTCTCAGGCATTTTTGGACAGAAACTTGAAGACACTGTCCGTTATGAGAAGAGATATGGGAACCGTCTGGCTCCAATGTTGGTGGAACAGTGTGTGGACTTTATCCGACAAAGGGGGCTGAAGGAAGAGGGTCTGTTCCGACTGCCAGGCCAGGCTAACCTCGTTAAGGAGCTCCAGGATGCCTTTGACTGTGGAGAGAAGCCATCATTTGACAGGTAGATTTCAAGATTTTACTAATCATCCTTCAAGGAGAAATCCAAACTAAACAAAAGAGATGCAGTGAGCTGAGATGATGTAACCTTAATGGATGCTGTAATAGTTTAGAATATGGATTATATATCCACACAAGGATGGATGGTTTTTATTAATTTACAGAGTCAAAAATTTGACACTTTAGATGTCTTTCTCTTCCATACTTTTTGTCTTCTTTAAAACATTATTATTTATTCTTTTCCTTTGGCCCTAAATTAACCCTTTATTATGCTTTTGAATCAGAAAATTGAATTTTTAAAATAGGAGTCTTTCTTGTTCAGTTTTCATTAATTCTCTCAGCTAAGAGATATTAAAAGTATTAATAAGCAGAGATTGGGATAGTGGCAATGTAGTTAAAATAACTATTTTTAATATTAAAGAAAGCATTCTATTTTTAAATAGCTCCACCTTAATCTAAGATAGATTTAGAAGGAAACAAAAATTTAGCATGATGAAATTCAGGGAATAATGAAAGTTCCAGAAAAGAAAATATAGAGCATCCATAACTCCGCTAAGTAAGAATTATGCACTTATGCTAATATTTTATAAATTATCTCCTCTTCACTTTTTTTTAATTTAGTAGAAAATAATAAATTTTCTCCTAATATTATTAATTTAGCATAATGTAGCATATATTTTTCATGTAAGTATTTGAAATATCCCCAATACTCTAATATATTTTAACTTAATATTTGATGATTGACAACCTGTAAATGTAATTTTTCATATCTAATATTTCATTCTACAAGTATATTATTCATAACCATTTCAAGAGTTTGGATATTTATATGATCACCTTTATCACTATTATAAATAGTATTGTAGAAGGTATACATTCACATAAGTATTTTCTATATTTTGATTACTTCCTCAGGAAAGGTTTTCAGTATTAGACTTTGTGGATAAAAACAGTCTTATTACTTGAAAACTGACAATTACATACTAAATATTATTTCTTTGAAATCACAGAATTAGCACATCGATAGACCCAGATCTACAGAATAGATAGACAAGAAGACACTTTAATACATGATATGAGACAAAGGAAGCATTATTGGAAATAAGTGCTTTTGCTAATAATCCAAGAAATGCACATTAAGTCATTTAATGCCCTCCTACTAAGCATATTAACAAAATCATGAACAATGATAATAATCAGTACTGGCAAGGTATGTTAAGGTAGGCACTCTGATGGCGAGGGAGCAAATCGTTATAGTCTTTTTAAAGAAATTTGGTAATATATTTCAAGACCATTTAAGCAAGATCTACTCCTAGAAAAAAACCCAGATCTGTGGGGAAAAAAAAACACATATAAATTTGCTTATTACAATTTTTATAATAGTAAAAAACGAACACCAGTCTATTATCTCCAGAAGTAAAGTATAGTCAAATAAATGATACTGCACTAATATAACAAAATGTTACACAGTTATTAAAGTTTTGGGAAAATGCTAATTATACAATAATACGTGGAAATAATAAACGGAAAAATAAGACAGGATCAATTAATTGATTAAAATCCTACTCGTTTACGGAAAGTATTACCGACAGTTTATAGACATTCATAAATTATCTCTGAGAGATAAAAATTAGATGGGGAGGCAAATACATAAATTCAAAACTAGACTCAGAGAACAAATTTCAACAATACAGATGTTCTTTTGGCAGGAGTGCCCAATATCTTATTCTATACTTTGAAAAACCAAACCTAAATAATATTTGCAAATTCAAGCCTATTCACAGGGTATACACAATAGTTTATCAGAAGAAATGTAATTTTTTAGCTTCAAAATTAAAAGAAATTTGTCAGTGGGATCCTCATAATAAAATGTCATATAATGGGTTAAACAACATCTTTTACAATAAATTTCATGTGACGTTGATAAATTTCAATGGCCTTTTCTTATGGCCTAAAATGCAGATGACATTTTAGAAAAGTATATTTATTAAAAGCTATTTTGCTGTAGGCATTTATGGTCTTGGTTCTTATAACAAGCTCCTCACTAATATGAAACAATGGAGGGATATTTTATAAATTTTAGAATACCTGTGAGAAAAGATATGCTCTGTGAGCAATTATCTCCAAATCAGATTCTTAACAGCTGAGCTGACAGTGAAATATTGTGCAATCTTTACATAAAATATTAGCCCACTTATAAAAAAGTATTTTTGTATAAAATGCATTCATGCATGAACAGATTGATGAAAATGTGACAAAAGATGAACACTGATTTCGTGGGATAATGAATGGGGATTTTTTTTGGTTTTAGTAGTGTGATTCCAGTAAGCATCCGTTACTTTTACAATCAGAAATTTAACCTGAATAATCTTTTAATTACCTGGTGATATAATGCTGCATAAATACTTCCTTATCTTTTAATTTCTAATGAGTAATTATGGAAGCTAATACCTGTCAACCAGAAAAGCTATTAGAAGAGAGTTGCGGAGAGTATTTCAATGTTAGCACAATATGGTGATGTTACTAACATCCTAGGAGAAAAAAGAGAGTGTTATTCATTTATGATATTGACATAATATCATATCATGGTGTTTGGTTTTCATTTCTACATTTGTAAAACAAACTGCCCTCAAACTTTGTGACTTAATACCAACTGGTTATTGGTCATGGTTCTGTACTTTGGGCAGGAGTTGGCCAGGATGTGCTCATTTCTCCTGCACATGACATTGATTCATGCAGATCAGTTAGGTCTGAAGGATTCAAGATAGTTCTACTCAGAGAACTATCTGTCTGACATGGCTAACATGGCTGGAATGCACTTTGGCCTTTCTCTCTCTCTGTCTGTCTGTCTGTCTGTCTGTCTGTCTGTCTCTCTCTCTCACACACACACACACACACACACACACACACATACACACACATCTATTAGAGCTGCTCTTTATCTGTATCTTTATCTGTAGCAAATTAGTCAGACCTATTGACATGATACTTCAGCATTCCAAGAAAATAAAAATGGCAATTTATAAACCTCACAAGGGCTGGGTCCATATGACACAGTGTGACTTTTGGTGTAGCCTATTGATCAAAGCAAGTCACAAGACAGGCCAGCCCCTACGTTTGAGGAGAAGGAAAATATAAACTCCATCACTTGATGGAAAGAGGAGTAAGCACATACAGATAAGGAAGGACTTGTAGGAGGCTATTTAAAGAGAAAATCACTATAGCTTTAAAGTCTTGGGAGACACTTGAGTGGCTGAGTCCATTAAGCGTCTGACTTTGGCTCAGGTCATGATCTCGTGGTTCATGAGTTTGTGTCCACATCAGCCTCAGTGCTCACAGCTCAAAGCCTGGAGCCTACTTTGGATTCTGTTGTCTCCCTCTCTCTCAGCCCACCCCCCACTAGAGCTCTCTGTCTTTCTCTCTCTCTCTCATTCTCTCTCTCTCAAGAATAAACAAACATTAAAAAAAAATGACAAAGTCTTGAAATCAAGTGGAGCAAATCTCCTAGTTTTGTTCTTTTTCAATTTTGTTTTGCTTATTCTAAGTCATTTACATCTTCATTTTTAAAAAAGAAAGAAATTTAGCATATGCTTGTCAATTTCTACAAAAAATGTCTTTTAGGACTTTGAAATTTCATTGAATCCAGAAATCAACTGGGAGAAAATTGATATTTCAAAAATATGAAGTCTTCTAACCCATAAGACATGGCTCATCTCTCCATTTCACTAGGACTTTTTGTATTTCAGCAACATTATTTATTTTTTGATGTAAGATCTTGCTCCATTTTGTTAAATTTATCATTAAGTACTTGCTATTTATAGATGCTCCTGTAAATAGTATTGCTTTTTAATATTTAATTTGCTAATTTCTCACTGCTGGATTATCCAAATACAATTAATTTTTTTGTCCTACCAACTTGGCAAGCTCATTTATTAGTGCCATCAGGATTTTTGTAGGATTTAGGGTTTTCTACATACATAATCTTATTGACTGTACATAATGAGAGTTTTATTTCTTCTTTTGCAATTTGTAGGCCTTATATTTCTTTTTCTCATCTGCTTGTACATGCTAAGAACTAGCCTACCATAGTAGTGAGTGGACATATGTTTTTTATATGTAGAGGGAAGTTTTCAGTCTTTCACTACTACGTGTGATGGTAGCTATAGGTTTTTTTCCTGATGACCTTTATGGGTTAGAAAATGTCCTTTTATTTCTAGTTTGCCTACAATTTTAATAATGAATGAGAATCAAATTTTATAAAATCTATTTCTTTCTGCATTTATTACAGAAATTATCTGATTCTTCCCTTTTGTTATGTTAATGTGCTGAATTACGTTAATCCATTTTCAAATGTTAAACCAACTTTATATTGCTAGGATAAGCCACAGTTCGTTGTGATGCATCACCCTTTTTATATATTGCTGTATCTGACTTCCAAATAATTTGTTAGGATTTGAGGACCTATATTCACCAGGAGTATTGACTTGTAGATTTCATATAGTATCTTTGGCTAGTTTTGTTATCAGAGAAATTCAGGCTCCCGTATTAGTTGGGAGGTATCCCCTCTACCTCTATTTTCTGAAAGAGTATGTGTATTTTGTATTATTTCCTCCATAAATGTTTGGTAAAATTTACCAGTGAAGTTATCTTTGTGCGGAAGCTTTTAGAGATGGCTTTTCTTCAGGTACATGGGTGGCTCGGTCAGTTAAGTGTCCAAATTGGCTCAGGTCATGATATTGTACTTTGTGAGTTTGAGCTCCATCCCAGACTCTATGCTGACAGCTCAGAGCCTAGAGCATGCGTAGGATTCTGTGTCTCCTTCTCTCTCTGCTCCTCCCCTGCTCATGTTATGTCTCTGTCTCTCAAAAATAAATAAACATTAAAAAAAAATTTTTTTAAAGAGATAACTTTTCTAATTCTTCTTGTGCCAGTTTTTTGCAATGTGTCTCTTCCATGACATTGTCCTATTCCATATAATTTTACAAATTTATTGCCATGAAGCTA